CATGTTTTCAGGACCTCTTGACACTGTGCCTCAGGCCTTAGTCATTCATATTTGACTCGGAATGAATCTCTTAAAATATTTTACAGAGTCTGAGTCTTCTTTTTTAAATCAACAGTTCAAATAAATTTTTAAAACTTTTAATGTGCCCAAATTTATCTTTTAACATTACCAGTCTCAGTTTGTGGAAGTCTAGAGTTGTCCCTGTCCATGTCTGTAAATTCTTGAGGCTCATGGTCTCATTTATGGGCCCCCCACTACCACTCAGACTCTTTATGTGCAAAGTCTATCCCCATTGCCACAAACTCTCATAAAAAAAAAATCATCCTTTCCTCCAATTTTCACAAAAGCACAACACATAAAAGATTCAGTATCCAATAATCTCTTTTTGCAAACTTTACTGAGGGTTTGGGGTTACAAGGAGTGCTCACGTTGTGAAGTCTTTGCAATCTTCTGCCTCCTCCCCTTCCCCTTTGCTCGACAAAGTGAATTCCTCTCCTAGCTTCCTGTAAAGCTGTTCTGAGCCTTCCCTAGAGATCTCTCCTTCCACTCCAGCAGCATTTCAAAGCACTTACTCCAGAAAAAAACTATGTTCTTGCTAAATAAATTCTGGTGAATAGGATGCCCTCATATCACTACACAAGTAATTTCCTGAATCAAAGTACCCTTTAAAGAAAGAAGGCAAATGTATATGGAGAAAAATTATGCTTCAGTGGAATATTATGTATTGTTTAGAGCACAACTTTTCAGGATATCTGATTCTGATTCACTGTCTTTGAGCTATTTTACAACTCTATAAATTGCAGATGAATGGTAACACCACACATAATTCTTACCTCTATATGTGCAAATAAATTCTGTCAGGTAGAAGGGCAACCCTCCCTGATTCCCAAGGAAAGAGCCAGTTTTACAGCCTTTGCAAATTTTTCTGTATTCCTGTTTTTTCACTTCTCCTTTGAACTGGCTATAATATCTTCACTGGTTCCCTCGTTTAATTAATGTATTAAATAAAATTTGACACATGTTCATTTTATAGCTGCGTGAGAGTCATTATGTCACCTTTTTTGAAAACTATCTTTCCAGCATATCAAAAAGGGTTCTAGGGCAGGAAATGATAGCACACTCAAAAGGGAAATTAATTAATGAAGGGACTATTTACAGGAGCGTGGGCAGAATTAAACCTCCAAGGCTGGTGAGCACCCAATCAGCAACAGAGAAAAATTAGTACTATATCTCTAGGGATAGGAAGCTGTGGCCACCCTTGAACACAAATTATAGCCTTGAAGAAAGGTGTTGGGGGGGAAATATCATGACTTCTTTTTCCTTTTGTCTTCTGAACCTCATGAGGCCAGATGGTACTGGGGACAAGGTGAAACAGTTTACTTGTTTTCTATTGCTTTTTCCATTCCTTTCAGTCACATCAGTCCAACATGGATCATAAATTCTCAGTGAATTTACAGGGGCTGGCCCATGTCTGCTACGTAAAAATTTTTCTATAGAAGCTTACAGTGTGATTATACTTTATATCTACATGTGTGTCTTAGTCTGTTAGTGGTGCTGTAACAAAATATTTCAGTCTGGGTAATTTTTAAGCAATAGAAATTAGTTTTCTTACAGTTTTAGAGGCTGGGAAGTTCAAGATCAAGGTACCAGGATTCAATGTCTGGTAAGGGCTTTCTTGCTGTGTCCTCATGTAAACCACCCAATAGGTTTTTCTTGCCTGCTGCCCAGATAGAGCCAATTTATCAAGACAAAGAGTTTAATGCCTGTGGAGCTGGCTAAATGGAAGATCAGAGTTTTATTACTACTCAAATCAACCTCCCAGAAATTCAGAGGCTAGGGTTTTTTAAAGATAGTTTGGCAGACAGCAGGTTAGACAATGGGGAATGCTGATTGGTTGAGTCAGGAATAAAATTATAGGAAGTCGAAGCTGTCATCTTATGCTTAGTCAGTTTCTGGGTGGGGGCCACAAGACCAGATGAGTCATTTTTACTTATCTGTGTGGTTCTACCTGGTCCATTGGAATTCAGGGTTTGAAAAATAACTCAAACACCAACGTTAGGTTTTATAATAGCAATGTTATCTATAGGCACAATTGCGGAGGTCAGTGATCTTGTGGACTCTGACTGCAAGACTCCTGAGTTATAATTTCTAATCTTGTAGCTAGTTTGTTAGTTTACTTATTTTTTGAGACAAGGTCTCGCTCTGTCACACAGGCAGAAATGATGCAGCGGGATCTTGGCTCACTGCAAACTACACCTTCTGGGCTCAACTGATGCTCCCCACGAAGCACTACAGGCACGTGCCACCATGCCCAGCTAATTTTGTTCATTTTCTGTCGAGACAAGGTCTATGCTGCCCAGGCTGGTCTCGAACTCCTGGACTTACGCAATCCTCCCACTTTGGCCTCCCAAAATGCTGGGATTACAGGCATGAGCCATTGTGCCCTGCCTAATTTGTTAGTTTAACAAAGGTGTTCCGGTCTCCAGGAAAGCTGGGGGTTTGTTTCATGGAGGAGCTGTTATCTTTGTTTCAAAGTTAATATATAAACTAAATTCCTCCCATAGTTAGTTTGGCCTATGCTCATCAATAAACAAGGACAGCTTGGAAGTGAGAAGCAAGATGGAGTTGGTTAGGTCAGATCTCTTTCACTGTCAGAATTTTCTCACTGTTACAATTTTTCAAAGGCAGTTTCATTCACATGGTAGAAGAGATGGTAGAAACAGACTCACCCTCATAGGCCCTTTTATAAGGCTCTGCCCTCATGACTTAATTTCCCTCCTAAAGGCCCCACCTCTTAATGCTACCACGTGGATAATTAAGTTTCAACATAGGAATTTTAGGGGACACATTCAGACCATAACAACAGAAAATATAGCTCTTTACTAAAGTCCTCAAAAGTTCTCTCCAGTTTCTGGACCCAAAGTCTTTGACTAAGAAGCAAAAGTTGACACCACTTAATATGTGCTTTTATAAGCACATTCTCCATATATTGGTTGAAGCATGGTGAATATACTTTGGAGAAAAGAAAAAGCACTTTATACAACAGTTGATTCCTTCCTGGGGGAAAAAATCTTGCTAAAATAGTCTCAAAGTTTCTGCTGGGCCTTTGTGCTTTCACATAAATTAATGTTCAGCCGAGCATCTTGACATGCTCAGGCAGAAAGCAGCAAAATTGCAAACAGGGATTGAGGAAGCTGAATAATGGTGTGCATGATAAAGTGACAAGACTTTGGAGCTCAGGGAATAATCTAGAAGGAAGGAGAAAAGAAAGGAGGAGGCAACCTGATAAGTTGGAGTAGAGCTGTGGAAATGTTTGATGGATTGTTTTAAGAACGTGTAATATTCAACTTAAAATTGTTTTCTTCATTCCAACTTGGGCACTGCAGAAGAAGGGTGGGAAGCAGAAGGGGGCCATTCAGCCACCAATGAGGTGGTGACACCATCAACATTCCCAAGCACATCCCATTGAAATGGACTTCAAGAAGTGTGGCCCTCGGGCACTCAGCAAAGATATCTGGAAATTTGCCAAGAAAGAGATGGGAACTCCAGAGGTGCACACTGATACCAGGTTTGACAAAGCTGTCAGGGCCAAAAGAATAATGTCCCATACCGTATCCACGTGTGATTGTCCAGAAAAACATAAGGAGAATGAAGGTTCATCGAAATGTGAAAGGAAAACAACATGGGCCCCAAAATCACTGAGCTAAAGGGAAAATTCAAGCTGGGAACTGCTTGGGCAAACCTGCCTCCCATTCTATTCAAAGTCATCTCTCTGCTGAGATAGATGCATATCTGATTGCCTCTTTTGGAAAGGCTTATCAGAAACTCAAGACTGCAACCATTTGTCTCTCACCTACCTATAACCTGGAAGCCTTCCTCCCTGCTTCAAGTTGTCTGCTTCTTACATATAGAGACGGACGTGTTCTCAACTTTGCCAAGATAAACTTTATACATTAATCGAGACTTGTCTCAAACTTTCGGGGTTCACAAAACTATGTATCCGTTACACTTTCTAAAACCTACAGTCAGTGTGGGAGAAGAACTGCTGATACTCGAATACGTCAAATAGTTATAAAACGGCCAAAAACTGTTGTTTTCTCTCAAACTTTTGGTAAAATGTGCTTCAGGGAAAACACAGGTAAGTGGTTCTGATAAAATCTTAATAAGGACATAATTTTCAAAAGCAGTAATGGTAAAAATAAATCCCATTTATTATCTGGTATGTCCCCGGCATTGTGCTAACACAGATAGCTCTACTACCTATGTCAGAGCAACTGAGGCAGATACTACACTCCTTTCTCAGGTAAAGAGATGGAGGCTCAGAGAGGTTAAAGAGCTCACTCAAAGGCACACAGCCAGTACACGGCAGTACGTCTCTCCTCCTGGGGCCGCCGTCTCGGTGATACTATTTAGGGCCACACGTCCCACTGTTCAGCATTCGTATTTACGTACCACTGTTTGGCAAGCGGGGACTCCTGAAGCTCTCTGACCCTGAAAAATGTGTGGCTTGCGTCACAGAGAAGCGGTTTTAGAATGCGCTCGCAGCAGGACACCGCGGTGTGTGCAAGCGGAGGGCCGCCCTGTCCTTGAGCCTTTTGGCCGAGACTAGGAGGGCAGAGGAAGCAGGAAGGTGGGATTTGTTTCAAAAGGGCGCGGGAAGGGGACGCTCCACACCGCCTCGCCTCTTAGTGTCCCCGGTCCCGTCACCCGAAATGTACGGGGACGACTGCCACACGTACCCCACACCTCGCCGGCGGCAGCGGGATCTGCGCGCCGGCTGCGGCCTGGCGCGCGCTCCTCATCTACTTCCCCGCAGGGCTGGGCGGGACTCCGGAGAGGGGGCGGGCCCCGCGAGCGCCCGCCCCCTTCTCTCTCCCCGCCTCCTTCCCGCTCTGCATCCCGCCCAGCGGCGCAGGGGGCCGGGCTCCGGCGAAAGGGGTGGGGGCCGCGCCGGTGACAGCCGCTCCCCTCCCCTGCTGCCCGCCACGTCCCTCACGTACCACTCGGCAAAGGCGCGGGGAAACGTGGCGCCCGGGCTCTGGCTTCTCTGGCGGGGCTCGGCATGAGGCTGGCGCGGCTGCTTCGCGGAGCTGCCTTGGCCGTCCCGGACCCGGGGCTGCGCGCCGCCGGCCCCAGCCGCTCCTTCAGCTCGGACTCGGGCTCCGGCCCGGCGTCCGAGCGCGGCGTTCCGGGCCAGGTGGACTTCTACGCGCGCTTCTCACCGTCCCCGCTCTCCATGAAGCAGTTCCTGGACTTCGGTGAGTGCGGCCCGGACTTCGGGCCTTTGTGCGCGGTCCCAGGCGGGGAGATGCGGCCCCTGCTCCAGGCCCGGTCGGTGCCGGCCAGCTCTCGCCTGAGGCGCAGCCCTCCTCCTCAGTGTTTCCGCCCCCAGCGCCTTAGGTGCTTCCTTCCTCCCTCCAAGTGCCGGCGCTGGCTGACGGCGTAAATAACGGTGGGCGTGTGGCTTTGTATTGTTGAAAACAAACCAGCTGGGCCGCGCGGAATGACCTCCCGCCTTCCGGCGCACGTGTGCAGGTGCGCGCTCGGCCAGGCCCCTTCCGACGAGGCGCGCCCGCGTGGGAGGCCGAGCGTGGACACCCCCAAGGATCGCTTTTGGATTCCGCGCAGTGATGATGAATGCCCAGTTTTGCATATGATGATTGCATAGAAATGGCGTGATGATAGGCAAGGCAGGTTATAACTGGCCCAGAGTTTCTTAGAATGTTTTCCTTGCCAGTAGCATAAATTGTTTGCACCAACAGCACATTTCATCATCAGCAAGTAAGTCTTGAGCACGTGTTGAGTGCATGAGGACAGGATGCTGTGAAGTTTACCACATTATCCTTGTTTTCTCCATAAGCTGTTGAACAGATTGCAGAAGAAATTGCATAGTTAGGCATTTTAACTTTTACTTCCCACTTACCTATGAAGGCAATGAGGGGAAAAGGGAAAACCTTAATGAATTCATAAAATTTGAGTACAAAGGTTATCTTCTGCATTGTGACTTCTGCATTGAATGATACCTGCATGGTTGACAACTTTGTCTTAAAACTGTGGTTTATAGTCGCATAATTTTTGGGTCAAAGCCTTAGGTTTTTGTTTTTACTTTAAAGTGACCCTAGTTCGACGTAGGGGCGAATTTGGTGGTGGTCATAAGTATGCCATGAAACTTTCACAAGCTGTTTTCCTTTAATAACTTAATTTCTACTATTGACAGTCTAGTTTTTGCTAACGTTTTCTCTGCTAAAGCAGCAAGAATAGTAAGCTTAAAATGCATTACTGGAATAGCAAGACCTTTTAGTTTAATATTAAGTGGCGCTGTTTGCCAAAGGACATTCTACAGCGATTCTGCTTAGGAAGTGATATGGGATCGTGATATGGGAGTGGAGGGGTCAGGAGACTTTCCAGTAACCAGACAATTGAATAGGACCTACTTGAAGATGGTGCTAACAGGCAGTGGTGGTTTTTGCTTTCTGTTGCTTGAAAGCTTTCCTCTGCACTTACTCTTTTTTCCCGTGTGTGTGTGTGTGTGTGTGTGTGTGTGTGTATTTTTTAAAAATAGAAATGGGGTATCGCTGTGTTGTCCAGGCTGGTCTCAAATTCCTGGGCTCAAGCCATCCTCCCAGCTTGGCCTCCCAAAGTGATTATAGGTGTGAGCCACCACACCTGGACTCCACTTACTCTTTGCTTACTGTAATTGGCATTTGTGGTTCTATATGGAATCAGTGAATCTTCATATGCAAACATCAAAATTTTACTCTTTTCTTTTTGATTGAGACAGGGTTTTACTCTGTCACCCAGGCTGGAGTGCAGTGGTGCTATCATAGGTCACTGTAACCTCACTTTTCTGCCTGAGCTTCCCAAGGCTAGAATTACAGGCAAGCACAACCACGCCCAGCTGTTTTTTATTTTTTATAAATACGAGGTCTCATTGTGTTGCCCAGGCTGGTCTTGAACCCCTGCGCTCAAACAGTCCTCAAGCCTCGGCCTCGCAAAGTGCTGGGATTATAGGCATGAATCACTGTGCCTGGCCCCCTGTTTTTAATTTATTTTTTTTAAGGCTAGTCAAGTGAAACAGTGGGAGTGGAGAAGGAACAAAGAAATCTGTAACTGGTCGTAATCAATTAGTCGTAAATACCACTGCATTCAGACCACCTTAAAGTTTCTGTTTCTTAGACATTAACTCTTTTTAAAGACATTAACTGTTTTTTAAAGAGTTAAAAAACAGATTTTCTAAATGATAGCAGCAACAGGGTGTACAGGCTAGACTTTTCCAGGTTCTGCTGTTAATTTTATAAAGCCTTGCTCAGAAATGCTCAGTTTACCTAACTTCTAAAATGGGTTATCACTATAAGGATACAAGTTAGGGAGACAAGGTTATCGTAATTGCTGTACAGAGCCATTGGAATGTCAGTAATTGGAATGTCATAACTCTGGAGACTGGGTTATCTCATCCCTCACCTCCCACAGGCAGGGATACCTTTGCCTTCTATTCCTTGCCCCATCGTGGTGATTCTACCCCTCTGGCCTTGCCAGGTAACTGCCTCTCATTTCTCCCTGCCTCTTGCCTTCGGTTTCCTTATGGCTTTTACTTACTGCTTTACCCATCATGTTTGGTTTCAGGATCAGTGAATGCTTGTGAAAAGACCTCATTTATGTTTCTTCGGCAAGAGTTGCCTGTCAGACTGGCAAATATAATGAAAGAAATAAGTCTCCTTCCAGATAATCTTCTCAGAACACCATCCGTTCAATTGGTACAAAGCTGGTAAGATTCTCATCTTGTGTTTGCAATTTGATGGAGTTGTGGACTCTATTCAAGGTTATGGCAAATGCTTTTTTTACTCTTCGGTGGAATCTTTTTTTTTTTTTTTTGAGAGGGAGTCCTGCTCTTAGGCCAGGCTGGAGTGCAGTGGCGCAATCTCAGCTCACTGCAAGCTCCAGCTCACTGGTTCAGGCAATTCTCCTGCCTCAGCCTCCCGAGTAACTGGGATTACAGGCATGTGCCACCATGCCCAGCTAATTTTTGTATTTTTAGTAGATACAGGGTTTCACCATGTTGGCCAGGATGATCTCGATCTCCTGACCTTGTGATCCGCCTGCCTTGGCCTCCCAAAGTATTGGGATTACAGGCATGAGCCACCGTGCCTGGCCAGAATCTTAAGGTAGTAGCAGTATTCTCCTTTTTTTGTCTGGGGGCAGGTGGGGGCAATGTATTTGGGCTTGGGCCCTGAATCCTGGACTCCACAACTCCTTGATTTTGAGAAAACCAATTAGAACTGCACTGAAATACAGATGCTAAATTTAGGATTTATGTTAGTATATCTGCAAGGATATTATCAGAAAAATGTCTACAATTTGATGACTAGGTATTTATGTATATTGCCTTTAATCCCTTTAACAACCTTGCACAGTAGGTATGAATCTCTCCATTTTATTCATTGTTGTTATTTTTATTTATTTATGTATTTATTTTTTTTAAATGGAGTCTTGCTCTGTCACCCAGGCTGGAGTGCATCATCTTGGCTCACTGCAACCTCTGCCTCCTGGGTTCAAGTAATTCTCTTGCCTCAGCCTCCAGAGTAGCTGGATACAGGCACCTGCCACCACACCCAGCTAATGTTTGTATTTTTAGTAGAGACAGAGGTTTCACCATGTTGGCCAGGCTAGTCTCAAACTCCTGACCTCAGGTGATCCTCCCACCTCGGCTTCCCAAAGTGCTGGGATTACAGGCGTGAGCCACCGCTCCTAGCCTGTTTACTTATTTTTTTGAGACAGGTTCTTACTGTTACTCTGTCACCCAGGTTGGAGTTGCAGTGGCAATCACAGCTCAGCTCACTGCAGCCTCCACCTCCCTGGCTCAGGTGATCCTCCCACCTCAGCCTCCTGAGTAGCTGAAACCACAAGCGCGTGCCACGCCCAGCTAATTTTTGTATTTTTTAGCAGAGATGGGGTTTTTCCATGTTGCCTAGACTGGCCTCAAACTCCGGAGCTCAAGGGATTTGCCCACCTGGGCCTCTCAAAGTGCAGGGATTGTGGGCGTGAGCCATTGTGCCCAGCCTGTTTATTATTTTTAAAATGAGTTTATTTTCTTTTTAGAGACAGGGTCTCCGTCACCCAGGCTAGAGTGCAGTAGTGTGATCATGGCTCACTGCAGTCTTGACCTCCTGGGCTCAAGAGATCCTACAGCCTTAGCCTCCCGAGCAGCTGGGACCACAGCCATGTGCCACCATACCTGACGAATTATTTTATTTTTTGTAGAGATGGGGTCTCACTTTTTTGCCCAGGCAGATTGTGAACAGGGCTCAAGCAGTCCTCTCACCTTGGCGTCCCAAAGTGTTGGGATTACAGACATGAGCCACTGCATCTGGCAGGTTAACTCTGTTTTACAGATGAGGATGCTGAGGCACATAAAGGTTAAATCTTTTGCACAAGGCAGTACCATTGATAGTGGAGTTGGGATTCAAACTCCCATTTGTCCATCTCTGCTATACCATTCTATAGTCAGAACAATGAAATATATGAAAGGGTATATGTATTTTTAATAAACTGTATTTACTGAAGGGTATCTTTTTATAAATTACAAAAGTTAAAACGTTTATTTTTCTGTTTTAAAACAATTAGAAGTTTTTGGAATTGTGTAGAAAAAGTGTGATCTATTCGCAAAGATGAGTAGAGATATTAAGGGTATACACTCATGGAGCCACCTATATACAGCCTTTGTTAATGTTATTGCTTTAAAATTGTTGTTCTTTTAAGCACTATACACTTCAAATAAATGAGCTGCCTAGAGTTAAGTCTTAAATGGAAGAAGTTTAGCTGCAGGGCATTTCCCAGTTATGATTCATGGAGATTCAAGTTTTCTTTTTGTAGTCATTATAGTGTATGGGAGAAGTTGATCTAATCTCGATTAAAAAAAGCAAAAGAAGTATGATTGCTATATATGTGATAATCAGATGCTATCTAGTCCAAGTATGGAATAGTTATAAGTGTGGCTTAAATGGGAAGCATTTGTTTAGGAATTATGATGGGATATACAGGAGAAAATATAATCCATGGAAGATTTTTCCTGTTTTAAAAAAATTCTTCATTAGAAGTAGAATATGCTGCTTTTTGAAGCTTATCAGTCATGAAGTCTGATCGGTATCTGTTGTAGGTACTCAGCTATCTCTTGGATGGAGAGCGTAGTTGTTCTTACCAATTAAGAGGAAATTAAGGTTAAAGCAAAGCAGCAGCGGCTATCAGAATCCCTTAACTTTGGAATGCATTAAGACATGCTGCTTGTCAGAAACAGCTTTCCAAACCAACAGATGGAATTACAGGTTTTTAAAGCACTTTCATTGCTCCTAGATGCCTGTTAAGTTAGGGCAGTTGCAGATTAAGTGCTTACAGCTAAGTAATAGTTCCCTTACACTGTCAAAGAAAGTAATTCAGTGGTAGCAAGTTATTTTTAGCTCTGGCCCGGCAGTGCCATTGTACTTGCCTGCAAGACCATCAGAAAATCATTTGGCCTTCTTTATTTTGCTCATTTCTTAACAGATGCTTTGATACCTTGAATTATTAGATGAATTTAAAATCTACATTTTTATGACTTTTGTATTTTTTGTTCAGTTTAAAAGAACCATATAGTAGATTATAGGCTATTAATAAATACTTGTTAGTTGGACATAACCACGTAAAATTAAGGTTTTAAAGCATAGATATTTAAGATAGAGTCTCAGAGCAAGAGAGGCTGTCCTCCTTTTACCGATAATAAGACAAATTAAGTCATTTGCCCAAGATCACGTAGTTATTGGTGACAGAGTCAGATCTCAGCATAATCAGTATGTATACTGTAATGTACAGTGGTAAATTAAAAAAAAAAATTAAAAGCCATTTTAGGATGTAGAACTTAGAATAGAAAATCTTAAAATTCTTAAACTTGACCTATGCTTTTAGGAGAAAATGTGTACCTTCTACTATTTGTTCCCAGCACTTTGCTCGAATGTGCATGGGTGTAAAAATTCTACTTCAACCCTAATTTATAGCAGTACTCTAAATTAAAAATTATAAAATGCTAAAAATAGCTTTTGAGCTAAGTTTCATGATAACTTTCAGAATATAAAAGAACGAACTTATCCTCTTGATCTGCATTTTAGGTATATCCAGAGTCTTCAGGAGCTTCTTGATTTTAAGGACAAAAGTGCTGAGGATGCTAAAGCTATTTATGAGTAAGTTCACTATTTTGACCCTATTCTTAAACCTATTATTAGGTCACTTAGGGGAAATTGATTAACTTTTAGGTTTCTGCTACTTTACAACATGTGATATATGTGACTATAGCAGCCCATACAGGCAGGACAAATAACCTAATCATTAAATTTGACTAGGTGTAAGAAATGCTTCGCATTCCTCTTTAACAAAAGACAAAGTTCAGGTGTGATGATCAATGGAAATGTAGGTGTGGCCTCAGTTGCAGTTGGATTGTTAACCTGGAGGGTGCATGCTCTTTCTAATGGACAACCACCTTCAGCCCCAGCTGATCTTTGCCATGTTAAAATACTGCCCATATCATCTGATTGTTTTCTGATTTTAAAGGAAAGCTACAAGTCTAGGTTTGTAATGTAAAATCTCTTGCTTTTGAAAGACTGGCAGCTAATTAAAACATTTTTTAAAACACAGAAGGCCTATAAAACATGGTTGCAGGTTTCTAGTTTATTCTCTATGGCCTGTAAGATGATGTCAGTAATATGACAAGTTTAATAACCCATATACCGGAATTGGTAGACCAAAGTATTTGCCGTATGCAGCTACCTGCTTATTGCAGTGAAGGGAACCGACAATGTAATGACCATCTCTTGTCCTCAGTTAGTTACACATGTTTTTTGGACTGTCTTTAAAGGGAACAGTAACACTTCATTTTTTTAAACATGATTTTAATCTGAAAATAACGTTCAGCAAGAGTTTACTCCTTGCTTAGGTATTGAGCAGACTTTACATGAATGATGTTTTTTAATCTTTAAAACAATTCATTGAAATAATGCTGTTTGTGCACAAAGAGGGCATGTAGCTTAAGGTTACATAGTTAGCACATGGTAGAATCCAAGCAGCCTTACTTTAGAAGTAAACATGCTATAGAGCCTTCTGAAAACAGTCGTTCAGAGCTGTGGAAAATAAGTAGTCAAGCAGAATAATACAGCTTTGTGTTTCTTTTTAGAAAAAAGAAAAATAAAGGAATGACTAGAATGATGAGTTGTTTGTTGTTTTCGAAGAGTTTTGTTGTTTCTATTTTGGTTTAACAGTCTTGTTTTGAAGCTTGTTACTAACTAGGAATTCCAAAAATGTTTTAAGCAGTGGAAACATCATTCGGTAAGTGAATAGTATTAAGAGATGGACTTCTGAATACGGAAAAACCACTCATTTGGAGAGTGTAATCAGATGGTTATGTGAATTGGTTTGTACGGCAAAGTTAAGACTTTTGGCCGGGCACAGTGGGCTACTAGCCGGGAATCCACAGCACTCCTTTGGGCGAGGCGAGGTGGAGGCGATAGTCTGGGACGGTCGGGAGTTCAAGAACCGGCCCTGATCAACATGGAGCGAAACCCCATCCTCTGAAAATACAAATTAGCCAAGCGTGGTTTGGTGCATACCTGTAATCCCAGCTACTGATGGAGGCTTGAGGCAGTAGAATCGCGGTGAACTTGGGAAGGTGGAGGTTACAGTGAGCCAAGATTGCGTGATTACGCTCCAGCCTGGGGAAAAAGGCAAAACTCCCATCCAAAAAAAGAGAAAAAAAGATTTCTTTTCTCTTTCATCTTTTATTTAGTTCGTTTAACCATGCAACGTCTTCTAAGTGACAGAAATGGGAAGCTACTAGATGATTTGAAGATTTACTTTTAATACAATTGTTTACTTTTCCTCTCCCATTTTATAAAACTCATAGGATAAATGAAATGATCATTCTTTTTCTTTTTCTGTCCTAAGTGTTTCCTTCTCTCTTTGAATCCTAGGAATAGGTTCATAAAACAGGCAGGCTTTAGGCTCATTCATCTTGATTCCTTGCAGAGGCAGAGCAGGTGTTCCCTAGAGGCAAGTGCTTGTCTTCTCCTATGCAGAATATCTCTGGAAATACCATCCTCTTAGCAAGTGCTCAGATAACCTTAGTGTGATAGCAGTTAAAAACCATTACATTTTAGGATTATGTTTTGTCACAGCCTTACTCTTAGGAAACCAAGAAAATAATTACATTTTGAAAGTTTTGATCTTGGAGGTCGTTATACTTCCATAGATTTGGTATATTTTATGATTTGAAATACATTTAAATAAGTATAGGAAAATATGAACTGATTTTCCTTTTAGTAAATTAGGGATTTTTGTCTAGCATAGTTGGTTAAACTTATATTTTTGTATTAAGTTTACTTGTCAAAATATTTGGCTGTTTTGACAGATGGGTTTGTTTAGCTTTACAGATACTGTGATACGGATCAGAAACCGACACAATGATGTCATTCCCACAATGGCCCAGGGTGTGATTGAATACAAGGAGAGCTTTGGGGTGGATCCTGTCACCAGCCAGAATGTTCAGTACTTTTTGGATCGATTCTACATGAGTCGCATTTCAATTAGAATGTTACTCAATCAGCACTGTAAGTGTCCTGAGTCAAGAGAAGCAGCTAAATGAGATGTGTTGGCATATTTTAAATGTATTTAGGAAACTTCCATTTAGGTAGAAAATTTAATTTTACCTTTTGGCTAATTAAGAGAAGTAAATAGACTGCCATCAAGAAAGGTATTTTTATTGAATGTAAAATACTGTGTTTATCCTAAAGGCAAATATTTGTTCTACTGTTTGGTACAATTTAAACACTATTCAGATTTGGAAAAGAGCATTAGGTAGTTTAGCTTATTTTGTTGGTTTTGTCTTTTTGGATAGCTTTATTGTTTGGGGGAAAAGGCAAAGGAAGTCCGTCTCATCGAAAACACATTGGAAGCATAAATCCAAACTGCAATGTAGTTGAAGTTATTAAAGGTAAATACTGACATTTCTCCTTACAAAAAAGATACAAAAATCAAAGTTACTGTTATTTCTTACTATTAAACAACTATTTGTATCATGAGATAAAATGGTAGGCACAAATGCATGGGTTTGAAAATAACCTTATAGTATTATTTGCGCATTATGTATAGGATGACTATTTTATTGATAGAATTATAGATAGGCAACGTTTGGTGATACTATAGAGGATATCTTTTTTGTTTTGTTTTGTTTGAGACAGAGTCTCATTCTGTTGCCCAGGCTGGAGTGCAGTGCTGCGATCTCAGCTCACTGTAGCCTCTGCCTCCTGAGTTCAAGCGATTGTCTTGCCTCAGCCTCCCCAGTAGCTGGAGTTACAGATGCTCAACACTACGCCTGGCTAATTTTTGTGTCTTTAGTGCAGATAGGGTTTTACCATGTTGGCCAGGCTGGTCTGGAACTCCTGCCTGCCTCGGCCTCCTGAAGAGCTGGGATTACAGGCGTGAGCCACTGAGCCCAGCTGAGGGTATCTTTCACTTAAAAAAGATTTCAAGTCCCTGCTCCCCTGTTTCTAATTCCTTGCACTATGAGCAGTAATTCATAACAGGTTGGTTTGAATCCTTTCACGCTTTTTTCTATTTATGCCACTTTCTATATATACACATACGCAATTGATATTGGCCTTACATTGTTGTTTTTAGAAAATGGGGTGCTCTGTGATTTTTCTACAAGTTTGCAGACATCTTGCTGTTCAGTACATCTGGATATACCCCAAGATTTTGAATGGCTGTATGGAATGTATCAGTATGTATTAATTCATTCTCCTGTTGGCGTACATTTAGGTTGTTTTAATTTTTTTGTTACCACCAATACCAGCAGTTCTGCTGTGAACATCCTTAAATACATGCTTACTTTTGCTAGTATTTTAGAGGGTAAGATTCCTAGAATTAAAAACATTTAAATGCATATAAAATTTTGGTATCTCTAAAAAGGTATCAAACAGTGGATAAGAGTATTTCCTAACCAACTCTTAAGTTTTGTTATATAGATAGGAAATATTTTCTTCAACCTGTTATTTTTCTTTTTTGCATTGTCGTTGGTGTCTTTTTAGCATATACACTTTTACATTTTTTTGTAGTTTTATTTGTCATTTATTGTTTATGGCTATTCAGCTTTGTCATGTCACACTTAGACTTTCCCTGGGCCAGGTGCAGTGGCTTATGCCTATAATCCCAGCACTTTGGGAGGCTGAGGCGGGTGGATCACCTGAGGTCAGGAGTTCGAGACCAACCTGGCCAACATGGTGAAACCCCACCTGTACTGAAAATTCAAAAATTACCTGGGTGTGGTGACACATGCCTATGTAGTCCCAGCTACTTGGGAGGCTGAGGCAGGAGAATCACTTGAACCGGGGAGGTGGAGGCTGGAGTGAGCTGAGATAGCGCCACCACACTCCAGCCTGGTTGACCAAGACTCTGTCTCAAAAAAAAAAAAAAGAGAAAGACTTTACCTGGTTGGGGGCCTTGAGCCCAGGAGCTGGAGACAAACCTCAGCAATATAGCGAGACCATGTCTCCACCAAAAAAAAAAAAAAAAAAAAGCAGAGACTTTCCCTAAACTATCAAAGTATATTTTCTTCTGTAGAGAGTTTAAGACTTTCATTTGTCAATACTATTGCCGTCTTAATGCATGAAAGGGAAGTATGTTTATTAAATCCTTTTTTGTTTTGTTTTAATTTGCACTAGATGGCTATGAAAATGCTAGGCGTCTGTGTGATTTGTATTATATTAACTCTCCCGAACTAGAACTTGGAGAACTAAATGGTAAGCCTGATGTTGTCTTTTTCTCAGTGATTAGTGCGTTGATTTCTTCATAAGGGATAAGAATTTAAATGTTTTAATGGAAGATGACTTTTTTCATCAAATTCATTGGATATGAAGGCTAAAGGATAGTAATCATGTAAAAAGTGTATCTATAAATATATATGTAATTTAGTCAGATTCTTTATGAAAAAATTTGGCTTTTTGTGCCTCATTTTCTTTATTTTTAATTGATAACTTTGATTCTTTGCTTATTTTTAATTTTCTGTTTAGTCATAGAAAAAAATGATGCCAAGAAAGTTACATTTGACTTTTACATGCACTTTAATAATGTAAGACTTACCCTTTTTCTACTTCCTGAGTTATAAATAATTTTCTGTAGTTGAGGACATAGAAAGACTGGGTTTGTAAAAGAGGAAAGAAAGATGCTCATCTATTTGAGAATGTGTTTGTCTCTGATGGTTTTCTTTTTACCCTGATGAGTGCCTTTTGGATAAAAAGGGTTTAGATGCCTTGAAGGGGGATTGATGAGTCTCTTTCCTGAAGGCATGGTAGTTTGACAGAGAAAAACATTTCCTAGGATGACACTTTAAGAAGGTGTGGTGGAAAGAATAAAATGAAATAGGCTTTTACTGAGCTGTATTCTGGACCTTAGAGTGAGAGAGCAGTGAAGTTATGCAATTGAAAATAGCATTGCCTGGTCGTTTTCTAAAACCATATTAACTCTTTTGAGCCATGATGGTAGCATAGCATTTGGTAAATAACAATCACAATGTACAAGTGATAGTTTGCAAACCTGAACTGCTGTGAGCAATTTCCAGATATCCCATTCTTGTTCCCAAGGGGGAGTTTATTCAGAGGAAGGTCTGATTTATTGGTTGAATTAGAATTCTAAGATATCATGAGTCTTAATCATTTGTTCTACTAAATGTCTGTTTTATACATACTCCTATCACCACCCCCAGTGGGGCTCCTGTTAAGTGTTTAAATGTAGAATTAATTACTGTCTCGAGAAATTGATGCTAGCTCATATTTTTTTATTCAGCTTTATATCCGTCGAAATGCCTGTAATAAACAATATTCCGCCCAGGTGAAACATTTTGAAAATGGCTGAAAGAATGTATGGGCTGGGCGCGGTGGCTCACGTCTGTAATCCCAGCACTTTGGGAAGCTGAGGCGGGCGGCTCACAAGGTCAGGAATTTGAGACAAGCCTGGGCCAATATGGTGAAACCCCATCTCTACTAAAAATAGAAAAATCAGCCAGGCGTGGTGGTGGGTGCCTGTAATCCCAGCTATTCGGGAGGCTGAGGTAGGAGAATTGCTTGAACCCGGGAGGCAGAGGTTGCAGTGAGCTGAGATTGCGCCACTGCACTCCAGGCTGCGCGACAGAGCAAGACTCTGTCTCAAAAAAAAAAGAAGAATGTATTCATGTGAATTGGACTGTGGAATTTATGGACTTTAACACTTCTCTATTTGGAAAGTAAAATTCCTACCCAACAGTTGAGCGATCTTTAAAAAGACTTTACCATCCTAGAGAAAAATGGTTGCATGGGTTGGTTCGATTGTTACACAAGATTGTGAGAAATGACCACAGGACTCTTGTCATCGTCAGTTGTAAATACTTGTGGGTATGGGTTCAAACACTAATACATTGAAGAAATGGTGTAGCAGTTCTCCCCCAGATTATACTGTCCTCCGTAGTTAATGTTTTCTTTTCATCACTACACAGTTTTTTCTTAAAAATGCTTTAAAGCACATCTCTCTGTACTTTCATATTTTTCTCTTCTGCTCTGTAGCAAAATCACCAGGACAGCCAATACAAGTGGTTTATGTACCATCCCATCTCTATCACATGGTGTTTGAACTTTTCAAGGTTTGTAAAATAGTATTACATAACCTTTACCAGTACTTTCCTGAGGTTAGGAATCTGCTCTGAAAGCCAAATATTCCACTATGTTCTCCTATTAAGAAGTGCTATTTCATGTCAGTATCGTATCACATTGCTGGAGATCAGCCTTTTATCAACACAGGGAGACACCTCCATGTAGTAGTGAGCTCAGACTATGGAGTCAGAAAGACCTGGGTTTGAATCCGAATTATGGCACTTAATTTGTGTGTGACCTTGGGCAAGTCACTCAACCTCTCTGAGCCTCAGTTTCCTTTTCTGTAAAACAAGAATACTGTCCAGGATTGTTTATGACGATTGGGAATAACATACTAAGTGTCCAGTACAGTGGCAACATATTACATATAGATGCTTAATAAAGTTATCTTTACATTTTAAAACAATATTTAGACGAGTGATTCTCAACTTGCTACCCTCAAAGGACTAGAATTCTTTTTTTGGTCTGGCTTTTCTTGGGAGGGGGAGGTCATTTATATTGACTTACAGGGTTTTTGTTGTTATCTTTGCTCTTTACAACAAATTTTGAAAACAAATTATGCTAGTAATATTGAGAGTGTCTTTTTTCCCCGCCCATGATACTTGCTGGTTGACAGGAAAATGGGTGAGGAGTGAGGGGCACAGGTCCTGGTGAGTGAAAACGACTGCCCTCCATCAGAAGCTTGTAGTCTCTCTTTAGTTATGTTTCATCAGCCAGCAGCAAACTAGAAGAGAGAGGGGGTGGCTTTCAATCTGATAATGTAAAGGAAGAGTGCACTGAAACACAGAAAAACTGACCAAATATCTTAGAACACCACCAAAGTGTTCTTTCTTCTAAGACAGCAAAAATGTATTTAATACCTTACAAAATCTTTTCAAAAATATTTATTTTATTTTTTGTAGCATTGAGGTCTCACTCTGTTACCCAGGCTGCCCTTGAAGTCCTGGCCTCAAGCAGTCCTGCCTTGGATTCCCAGTGTTGAGATTACAGGCATAAACCACTGCACCTAGCCCCAAAATCTTTTTATCCAAGTTGTTAAACAAGTAGTGATGGGCACTTAAAGCATTAACACGAATTTTTTCCTTGAAATTCCAGTGGCATAAAGATCTTGTGCCCTATGATTGAGGCATTCCGTATTATATTACATATTGTTCATAATGTCAGTAATAATGGCTTTCACCTGGAACCTAATCTTAAATTGCCTGTGATGGAAATGATGGAATCTCCTCCATAAGGGGACGCAATCGCAATTGCTGTGCCAGGGCCACACACACTTACTGCCAAATTCAGATGCCTTTTTAGTTACATCTAGTTTGTATCATTTTCTACTGCAATGCTGAATGTCATGATATTGTTCAAGGTTTCTGATATGTTGGCACTGTGTACCCTATTTCCTTTAGAAAGTAGTCAAAGCAGCTTTACAGTGTCAGTACCCTTAATTTCAAGCTAGAGATAAAGGGATTCATTGCTCTATCAAATACGACCATCGCTGTTACTACTATATGAAAAAATTACTTTTCTTTAAAGAAATGTATGACAGTTTTTTAAATAGTTCTGAAAATAGAGCTGAAACTACATTTTCAAAAATGTTTTGCCCATCACTTACTAAAATTATAAAAGTGAACAGAGTTTTCTGCTTTAATGTAACTAGTTTAAAGTGTTTTGAAGTCTGACTTTGGAAAATATGCAGAATTTAGTTGGAATCTTTAGGTCAGAATATCCTTTAGATCCCCCCCAAATTGACTCCATTAAAAAAAAAAAACTTTAAATGTGGTTGTAAGAATTGTGATTCTTTGGCATATTTTCATCAAATTTAAAAACTTCAAATAGTGCATATGTACTTGAAAATTCTACTTTGTCCTTTCTAAAAAGCTGTATTTTTAATACAACCCTAATGTGTTTCAGAATGCAATGAGAGCCACTATGGAACACCATGCCAGCAGAGGTGTTTACCCTCCTATTCAAGTTCATGTCACGTTGGGTAATGAGGATTTGACTGTGAAGGTAAATGTGTTTGGTTTTTGTTTTTTGTTTTTGTAATTGATGTACAGACATGCAAAGGTAACCATACGCATAATTTTTAAAAGACATAATCTCTCAGGGGAAAAGACTCTTGTCTGTAATAGATAATAAGCACATTGCTTCATTGAGCTGGTGGATTATAGTTACTCCTTGAATCTTTTCTAGTCTGGTTCCCTGTCCAGGTGATTCAAGTTAAAATAAATCTTGGAGACAGACAATTTATCATGAATATCTCTTTGATAAGATCTAAAATATTTGGATAGTTGCAGTATTATGGAGATAGTATTTAATATATAATTTAAAAATTTTAAAACAATGCTTTTTAGTCTAGTTTGTTTCATTTGATTCTCATAATGCAGGTAATTTTATCCTCACTTTTACAGGTGAGGAGACTAAGACATGGTGATTAGCTCAGGATCACACAGGGCATAAATACCATGGGACATGATATCCAGTCTTCTGTCCCCAGGACTAGACCTTTTCTATTACGTTGTTCAGGTGGCTCAGTTTCTTCTTTTAAATTTTATTAAAAATTGTTTTCTGTCACCCAGGCTGGAGTGCAGTGGTATGATCATTGCTCACTGTGACCTCGAACTCCTAGGCTCAAGCGATCCTCCTCCCATAGCTTCCAGAGTAACTGGGACTGCAGGCTGCAGGCATGCAAGCCTGACTAATTAAAATAATTTTAGGGGGTAGAGACTAGGTCTTACTGTTGCCCAGGCTGATCTCAAAACCCCTGGTCTCAAGTGATCCTCCCACCTTGGCCTCCCAAAGCACTAGTATTACAGGTGTGAGCCACTGTGCCTGGCCCTAGTTTCTTAAGAGTATGATAGTGTTTTTCTCTTTTAATAATCACTAAAAATTTATATTAAAGTAATAAATGCAGAGACTATAAAAAATCAAATGTGTCAGTTCCTGGCCCTTTGTGGGCCTCATTACTCCGAGTTACTCAGAGATTCCTAGTCTTTCTTTTTTCGAGATGGAGTCTCGCTCTGTTACCCAGGGTGGAATGCAGTAGTGTGATCTTGGCCCACTGCAACCTCTGCCTCCCGGGTTCAAGCAATTCTCCTGCCTCAGCCTCCCAAGTAGCTGGGACAACAGGCACCCGCCACCACACCTAGCTAATTTTTTGTATTTTAGTAGAGACGGGGTTTCACCATATTGGCCGGGCTGGTCTCGAACTCCTGACCTTGAGTTGTCCACCTGCCTCACCCTCCCAAAGTGCTGGGATTACAGGCATGAGCTACTGCGCCTGGCCTAATGTTTACATTTTAAACAGTAAATATTACCTTTCTGTTATAGTAGTTGAGGGGTTAGCTCTCTTTAATAGAGCACCTGCTCCCCTCCCCTAGCCCAAGGGCCACTTTCCCTATACTATCATCCTAATATTTAAGTTTGTATATGAAATTCAAAGTTGAGAATAATCATCTTGCAAAAGTTTGAAGGCATCCGTTGTTCCTTTTTTTAAAAGGTACAATTCAGTGAAATTCATAAGGTTATTCAAGTATTGCCGCTGTCTCATTCTAGAACATTTTCATCAGTCCTAAGAAAAAACCCAGTACTCCGTCAGGCACAGTGGCTCATGCCTGTAATCCCGGCACTTTGGGAGGCCAAGGCGGGCAGATTGCCTGAGGTCAGGCGTTTAAGAGCAGCCTGGCCAACATGGTGAAACCCCATCTCTACAAAAAAATACAAAATTAGCTGGGCGTGGTGGCAGCCGCCTGTAATCCCAGCTATTCAGGAGGCTGAGACATGAGAATCACTTGAACCCAGAAGGCAGAGGTTGCAGTGAGCCGAGATCGCACCACTGCACTCCAGCCTAGGCGACAGAGCAAGACTCCATCTCAAAAAAAGGAAAATACCAGTACCCATGAAGTCACTTCCCATTTTTCTCTCTTCTAGCCCTTAGCAACCACTAATCTATTTTCTGTTTGTGTATTTCTCTTTCTGAGCGTTTTATATAAACTTAATCATGCAGTATGTGATCTTTTGTTACTGACTTCTTTCACTTACTATAATGTTATAGTATGCATTTGTACTTCGTTCCTTTTTATGACTGAATGATATTCTGTTATATGGATATAACGCCTTTGGGTTATGCATTCATCAGTTGATAGACATTTGGTTCCTTTTTATTTTTTGGTTATTATAAATAATACAGCTATGAACATCTGTGTACAAATTATTGTGTGAACATGTGTTTCAGTTATCTTATGTATATACCTAGGGATTGAATTGCTGAATTATAGGAAACTCTGTTTAACTTTGAGAAACTGCCAAACTGTTTTCCAAAGGACCTGCACCATTGTGCATTCTCATCAACAATATGTAAAAGTTCCTGTTTTTCCTTGTCCTTGTCAACAATTGTAGTCTGTCTTTTTTTATTATAGACATTATTGTGAGTGTGAAGTGGTAGCTCATTGTGGTTTTTATTTGCATTTGTCTAATGACTGATGTTGAGCATCTTTTCATTTGCTGATTGGCCTTTTGTGTATCTTTGAAGAAATGCAGATTAAGATCCTTTTTTCAGTTTTAAAATTGGCTGTTTGTCTTTTATTGTTGAGTTGTAAGGGTTCTCTCTCATGTATATGTATATATATAAGGATTCTCTGTGTGTGTGTGTGTGTGTGTGTGTGTGTGTGTGTGTATGTATAGGGGTTACTAGTCCCTGATGAGATGTATGATTTGCAAGTATATTCTCCCATTCTGTGTGTTCTTTTCACTTTCTTGATAGTGTCCTTTGAAGTACAAAGTTGTGTTGTTTTGTTTTTTTGCTTTTTAAAATAGAAATGGGGTCTTGCTATGTTGCGCAGGCTGGTCTCGAACTCCTGAGTTTAAGCAGTCCTCCCACCTTGGCCTCCCAAAGTGCTGGGATTACAGGTTTGAGGCACCACACCCAGCCAAAGTTTTTAGTTTTGAAATTTTTCAATTTTTTTTTCACATTGCATGTGATTTCAGCCTTATGTCTAAGAAGCCATTGCCTACTCCAAAGTCTTGAAAATTTATGCCTATGTTTCTGAGAGTTTTATAGTTTTAGCTTTTACATTTAAGGTCTTTGATCCATTTTGAGTTAATTTTTGTACATGGTTTGAGGTAAAGGTTCATCTTCATTCTTTTGCATGTGGATATCCAGTTGTCCCAGTACCATTTGTGAAAAACCTATTCTTTCCGCATTCAGTTGCCCTGTCACCCTTGCCAAAAATCAATTGCTCGTGAATGTATGGGGTTTATTTCTGGATTCTCAGTTCTATTCCATTGATGTATATATCTCTCATTATGCAAGTACTTAACGCGTGTCTCAATTATTGTAGCTTTAAGTTTTGAAACTTGCAAGTGTGAGTCCTACAACTTCTTTTTCAGGATTATTTTGGCTATTATGGGTTCTCGCATTTCCATGGGTTTTAGGATCAGCTTGTCAATTTCTGCAAAAAACAATGCCAACTAGAATTTTGATGGGCATCATTTGGGAAGTGTTGCCATCTTAGAGTTAACAATATTAACTCTTCTAATTCATGAACACAAGACATCTTTACACTTATGACACAGGGCATCTTTATAGGTCTTCTTTGCTTTCTTTCAATAATGTTTTGTGGTTTTTAGTGTACAAGTCTTGGACTTTTAAATTTATTCCTAAGTATTTTATTATTTTTAATGCTATTATAATGGAATTGTTCTCTTAATTCCATTTTTTGGAGTGCTTTTTGCTAGTGGATAGGAATATAACTGATTTTTTTTTGTACTGATCTTGTGTCCTGCATCCTTGCTAAATGTCTTCATTAGCATGGATAAATTTTTGTGGATTACTTAGAATTTTCTATATAAATGATCATGTCTCTGCAAAAAGATGTAAGTGTGGCTAGTGCAGTGTTGAATAGAAGTGCTGACAGGAAACATCCTTGTCTTTTTTCTGATCCTAAGGGGGATAACTTCTTGTCTTTCACCATTAAGTATGATGTTAGCTCTGATTTTTTTCATAGATACCCTTTATCAGATTGAGAAAGTTTGCCTCTATTCTTAGTTTGAGTGTTTTTATAATGAAAGGATATTCAATTTTGTCAAGTGCTTTTTCTGTGGAGATTGAAATGATTGTGTGGTTTGTTCTTTGTTCTATTAAGTAGTGTATTACATTGCTTTTTCTACATCAAACCAACCTTGCATTCTTGGGATAAGTCTCAATTTTTTTATGGTTTATGTTGTTTTGTTGAGGATTTTTACATTGATGTTCATAAGGTATGTTTATTGGTCTGTAGTTTCTTGAGATGTTTTAGTTTTAGTATCGGGATGACACTGGCCTTATAGAATGAGTAGGGAATTTCCCTCTCTTTCTGTATTTTGGAAGAGTTTTTGAAGGATTGGTATTCTGTCAGTGTTTGGTAGAACACAACAGTGAAGACTTCTGGGCCTGAGCTTGTCTTTGTGGGAAGATTTTTGATTACTAGTTAAATCTCTATTTGTTATTTATTCAGATTTATGGATAGATATTTATAAACATAAATAATAGGCCAGGCACAGTGGCTTATGCTTGTAATCCTAGCACTTTGGGAAGCCAAGGCAGGTGGATCACCTGAGCTCAGGAGTTTGAGACTAGAGTGGCCAACATGGCAAAACTCCATCTCTACTAAAAATACAAAAATCAGCCAGGCACAGTGGTGTGTGCCTGTAATCCCAGCTACTTGGGAGGCTGAGGCAGGAGAATCACTTGAACCCGGGAGGCAGAGGTTGTGGTGAGCTGAGATTGTGCCATTGCACTCTAGCCTGGACGACAGGTCAAGACTTTGTGTCAAATAATAATAATAAAATAAATAAATATAAAATATTTGCTATCTATTCAAATTGTCCATTTCTTCCTGAGCTGTGTCAATAGTTTGTATTTTTATTGTAATTTGTCCGTTTCATTTAGGTTATCTAATTATTACACACAATTGTTCGTAGTATTCCCTAATAATCCTTTTTATTTTTGTAAGATTGATAGTGATGTCCCC